GTGGTATTCATTTAAAATTATAAAACTTGAACTTCATAAAGGATCACAGGGAAGTCAACTATCCGAAACGATTCAAACAAATTATTATTTGTAAGGTAAATAATAACAATCATATTAAGTTAATGGCTTTTGAATGTTTTTTTTTTTATTTTAGGATTCAATCATTATTATATATCGTTTTAACTTTCCAACTAGCATTAGCCGAGATTAAACCCTATCCAACATAAGCCTGGGATTTAGTTGCGAATCTACCAGGAGTCCAAATGTCAGGATTATTTGGACAACTCATGTTCATTTCTCTTCATTTACGGATATATTTAGTTTTTTTTAAAATAACATAAAGAAATATTAAAAATGACAATGTACTTTACTTTAGTTAAATATTATATTTAGTTCGTTTTGTTGAAGATGGTTAAAATAACAATAAAAAAAAAAGATTCCAATAGAGGTCCTTTCTACTGGTACAAAACTGCCATGAAATATATTATGCTTTAATTTATGGAATAGAATTTTGAGTAATTTAGTTGTTCCCAAACGTCTGAAAAGGAAGTATTGCGTCCTTAAAGACTCATTTTTACACAGGAATTGCCAGGTTTCCGAATATAAGGAAACTTACCCATTACGGATTATGTTTATAAAAATCTAACAAATATGTTCAATGAGTTATAGAAGAGAGTGAGTGATGCATTTATCAATCAAATAAAATCAAATAAACAAGTGTGTTAAATATTGTTCATTCACTCAGTACACAATGTCACATTAATTTGCAATTGTTATTTATTATTCATATAGAGATGAACTTGACAACTGTTTCTTGTCTTTTTTTATGTTATATCTGATTTTTTCGACTTTCATATCTAAGAAAATGTTTTTGCATAAATGTATATATATCATTACACTTACAAATTAATGCATGGAAATATACTCCAGACTGAGCGAAATATGCATAAATTTGCATAAGTTTCAACCCTTTCGGTTAATTCAAAATACAGTTGATTGTGGGCACACGTAAATATATATATTTACATATATATATATATATGTGTGTGTGTGTATATGTATATGTATATATGTGAGAAGAACGCGCTTTTAGTATATTTTTGTTGTTGCTGTCGAGCACGCGACGTTGGCACGACTGAACGCAGACTCATACGCAGATCACAGATCACAGATGAGATGTGCCCACAGATTCCACTCGCTGGCAGAGAGAGAGAACCAAACACGACTCAACTTGGCTTGCCTGATTATAAAATAGTACTAAAAACTACATCAAAATCAAATACGAAACGTAGCCAACGAGCGCGCAAAATTTATGCGCAACTGCGCTGCCAGCGTCAGCAGAGCATGTGTGTGTGTTTGTTTGTGGGTGTTGGATTATTTTCATTCATCAAATGCGTTCACAGTGTCGCAGTCGCAGTCGCTCTTGCTGTTGCCGTCGCAGTCGCTGCTCTGCCTATCAATTGCAATGCAGCGCGCCACGTAACTCATACGACGCGTTGTCGCTGCCGCTGCCGCCTCTGCCGCGGCATCGCTTAATTAGCTGCCTTGTTCTCTGCACGGCGATGCATGCTTAGTTTCGCTTTCTTTTGGCTGGCGATTTTGAAGGAAATTCATTATCACCAATTTGCGCTAGGTAGGTAGGTATATATATATACATATATATATACATCTAGCTTGAGCTTTTTTTAAACACTTCCTCGCACCTGTCGTTAAAAGTAGTTCAGTGTTTTGATGTCAGCATTTAACGCCCACTTCCTTGCGCCCACTTCATTAGCTACCGCATTGTTCAAGTTGCTCTGATCAACCTTCTATTGTTTACTGAGCCAAGGGGATGCGGGCTGCGAGTGAAATACTGACGAAACTGCATACAAGGCTATAACTATAAATTACTATCTCCTTGCAAAGACTTAAACAAGTTCTCTATACATTTATCAATCAGTTGTTATAAGTTGAAACACAGCAAATCTCTGTTTCTGCTTCTCAGGAGAACTAACTTACTAATTTATAAGAATTAAACATATTGAACCGCTTTTAATATATGCTTTAAATTTTGTTCTTCATATTATTTCTTGGCACAATTTTTATTAATTCCAGCTCTGTCAACTAATTAAATAATAAATTTGAGTTTGAGATTTATTAATAAAGACTTTTGCTAAAAATTGTTCTTAACTCTTCGGTGAAAACACAAGACCCAAGGCGAGAACCAGTTTGTTAAACAATTTCAATTAATCCCTTAAAAAATCAAAAATGTATCTTACACGGCTCTTGAACTACAAAGTTTTAAACTGTTAAGTTAGACTGTCGAAATTATAATTGAAGTGAATTTTCTCTAAGTACAATAACTAAACATAAAGCCATATTTTATATATCAAAACATGTTTCAATTAATTAACCAGCATTAGTTAGTTAGAAACTAAAGCATCCTTACATTAGACTGCGATGTAGGCCCAGATGCTGGTTGTTCAGGTGCCTGAGGGATCAGAATTGCTCCAGCAGGGAAAGCCCTTTAACCATTAATTTTAATAAATGACTAATAAGTAACTCTGGTCATATTGGAAGTTAACATTACATATCAGAGCCGATCTCAAGATAGTTAAGCAAATTCCTTCCAAGTATGACATAAATATAGAGCTATAATTAGGCATTTCCGGCCCTCCTCTTGCCATCGTTTAATAAATAGTAATAAAAATCAGCGTCGCTGTTGCAGTGTCCACAGCTGCCTTTGATCTGTTTCAATTCGATTTGCCTTGGGGGCTAGTTCTGCTGACCGCTGGCGACACCAAGCCGTGCGCACGCTGGTGGGAACAGAAAACCAACAAAAACAAAAAAAAACAAAAAAAACAACAACAAATAATATAATAATATAACAAATAACCGTTTATGGGGTTTTGTCGCTATTTTATAACTACGCACAAGTGACAGGGCCCAACGGCGACCAAATGACAACGTTTCGTCGTAGTCCCTTCTCTTTCAGTGGTGAATTCCATAACCAGCAGCTATGCTACCCTTGCGTACAACCAGATCCATAGCTCGCAGCTCTTTCTCATAGTGCGCGCACGAGTATGTACGAAAACGTGCCAAAGCATTTCTACCGGAACTGTCGATCTTCATTTTTAAAAGTGGAAAATATCACAATATACCCTATATCACCCATATACAAACATTTCTATACGTGCACATTGTTTTTTTCTTTCTTTTTTTTTTTTTGGAAGTCCAACCCAAACATAAAACTAAAAACGACTATCGTTGAACCATAAAAACAGCTCCCTCCTTATACCTTTATCCAACAATCATGAAATCTATCTATGAAATCAATATCAATCTATGAAATTATTATCAGAAATTATCTTTATAAGGTGAAAAAGTACAGTTTACATTGCTTTTCAAAATTGTTTACCAATTTCCCTTGTTTCCATACATATTTTCGAAAGATCTGTATTAAAGCTATTTTGAAAATCTCCTGGGTTCAATTATTTTTAACGACTCGACTATTTCAAATTTGTTCGATGTCATAAGAGGTTGCGAAATTTTAACGAACATTGAAATATTTATAAATTATAATTTTTGAGCTAGGCTTGAATCTCAAAATTCATGTTTTAGAAATGGTACAAGATATATAATATACAGATATCTATATATCTCTCAAGGTCAGACGGACATGGCCATCTATTCATATATATATAAATTACATGCATTTTCTGCAAAGTAAAATTTTAAAATTAAAATAAACATTCGAAAAACTTAACTGAAACTCTGAAGTCGAAGCAGCATTACGCTCCGGTTTATTAATGTGTGCTTACGCTCCAATATTGATAGGCATATGACTTTAATACATATGTTGCATATAATATATGCCCAAGTGGTTTAACAGATAAACGGATCAGAAAAGAGCAATGCAGACAAACATTCCAGCATTAATAGATTTTTAGCCCTAATAGATAAACTTAATACTAACCCATTCAAGACATATATTTTTTATAAGCATAAAAAGTATGGATGTATCTCTAAATAATAATATCCTCAACAACTCATCAGAGTAAATAATTTTAAGTAAATTATATATTATCGTATGAGAATAGAATAATACTTAAACCAACCGTATTGGTTTTCCCCAAATTATACCAAGAATATTTTTTACTAACAGTTTCTAATCCCTGTTGTGAAAAATTCAAAATAGACAAAATACACTTTTCCTGATAAGCCAGAATATTTCCGCAATGTTACCCAAGATATCGTATTAATTGTCAAAGCTATTACAAAGGTTTTAGAGATAATACGCTAAATGTATAAGATATTTAATATTATCTTAAGCTGTTGTTTGCATCGACTGCATAAAAACATTAGTATATAAGTGTACTGGGTTCTTTTCGCTTACCCTAAAAAGTTGCCCAAGGAATCATTTAAGGAGAACTCGTTCCCTCCGTCATTATCCTGTAGATATAGACCTAACGGTCCTTGAAGAACAGTAGGTTAGCTTCCTTAGTTGTTCCTGTGATGTCCTTAGAGCTGGATTGTTTTTTTTTTTTTTTCACTAATTTACTAAGTTATCGCACTCATAAATTTATTTCTTAGTGTTTCAATATCCTGTACATAAATGTTAAGCATTTTAACAATAGGGTTTACATGAACTAATCAATGTCGATTTCATAGTAGTTCGGGTTATAAAATTGATTTTAATTAATAACAAGTTTGAATTTTATGACGAGTTTACTTTATGAGGCCATATATTGCCCAGTTAAACGCGATATAAAAATACAATAACGAATTCGGGTATTGAAAAACTTCAAGCAATCAACGCCTAAAGTTTTCTACAAATATATTTATTTTTTGTATTTTTTTTTTTTTATTTATAACTTTATATTATGTTTAAACGTAATGCATTATGTATTTATAAAAATTTTCAAGATCACAAATCATATTTTTTTTTCTTTTAATATTAAATGAAAATGTGCAGGCAATTTTCATAACGCTGGGTGCGTTTCGCGATCTTAGCATTATACAATTAAAAGGCCCACTGTGCTATGGCTAAAAGCAAAACGGAATGCAAATTTAAGGCGGAATCAGTTATAGAAATACATTTTTCAAATATGGCAAACTCTATATAATAGGAATATGGCAACGTATTCATAATTTCGAAATTTATATGTGGAGAGTATTTCAAAAGCAACGAAACACTTGTGTGCCAGGATTTAAGCAGTATATGTGTGTGTGAGTGTGTGAATATTATTAAAGAAAGCAGAATAAATGTATGAGTGTGTATGCGTGCGTGTGTTCGATTTGTTGTTGGTTAAGAGCTGCCGCTGCCGCAACAGTTGTGCAGCTACCACCATTTGCGCAGTCGCAGAAGCAGCTGCGCCGTCGCGTCAGCTGGAACGCTTCCATGTATGCTTATACGTATATGTAAGATGTAGTGTGAATGTGTATGTATGCATTTGTGTGCGTGTGCGGGGAGTGTTTTTGTAAGGCTACTCCTCCGTTTTGGGACGCCGAAATAGCAGAATGTGCGGCTCTGGCTTGTGTATCATATAGTGTATCCAGCCGCGCGACTGCTGCACACCGATTGATCTCCATTCGGTTTCTGTCATTAGATGCGTTTTGGGCACCAGCTTCACAAGCTCTTTCGGCAAGACCACATGTCTGCAAAAGGTAGTGTATACATGCCAATACATATGTACATACATGTGTACATACACGCAAACATATTTATGTCAATTTAGTGCATTAACAGTTAGAAATCGCATATATCTACTCACCTGTACTCAAATTTCTCATCATAGTATTTATCCGAATAGTAAATATCTTTGCTCATCTTTGTAATATGTTGGAATAGGGATAAGGGAATGCTGGAATGCGGCGTTTAATTTCTGTTTGGCGTCGGCGTCCTTTTCTGCACGTTCAAAATTGGCGATCCGCTTTGCATAAGACCTTTTCTTAGTTCCGATTTGTGCACACTGATTTTACTAATGTTTAGTTACTTTTTTATGCGTTTTGTGGCAAGTTCATATGATTATTTATAAACAATTCACGTTATAAGTTATTTTAAAAAAGTAATAAGTGACGCGGTCGAAAGAAATGTTTGTTCTAGTTCCGTTTTGTTCACTGAACCACTGCTATCGATTATAACGAAATTCAATTGAACGCCAGCATAGAACTAGTTTTTAGTCGTGAAGTGAATGTGAAGTACAATGTGCACGAGTGTTAATTCGAAGTTATATACAAATTAATAAACAATAAGTGCAATACAAAAACCAATTATATGCACAGTAAGTGATACATTTGATTTCAATAATATGATATGCATTAAGAAAACGGATTGGACTGCACAATTTTCCCCTTATAAAAACTTGCCGGGAAAGCGCGCGTTTATTGAGCGGCAGTTTATTGAGCAAATAGTGGTGGTCGGTCGATAAACATTCTATTCGATTATTGAGGAGCAGCCGAACATAAAATTAATATATCTAGCTTGCAAAAATGAACATATTAAATATTAAGAATTTTATAAAAATTCCCAATATATATGACTATATTTAATTGAATAGCAGCACAATTTTGAGCTATGTTTTAAGCATACGTCGATATATGTATATATGTATCGGCATTCTACAACACAGCTGTGCAGCAACAACATTCCTCTTATGCGACATGACACATGCACAAATAAAATATGTAATTGTTGAATAAATGTTTAATGATAAACAAAAGGTGGATTTGGCAGGCACAGTGACACAAAAGTTGTTATTAATGATCAGATGTATCGCTGAGTGTAGACAAACAGCTGCACAGTTTCCAATTGTAATCGTCTGCCCCCCTTACATCTCTTCTGTCATATGCTACCTAAGCCACAGTTACATACATACATTTGTGTGCATGGCTGTTAACATACATACATACATATGTATGAGGGAATATGCTTGCTGAGCCTTGCCCTAGGTCCTATGCTAACATGTTATGCAATGTTTAACTCAAAGAATGTCTCTAAACTATCTTGATAAAGCTTTTCATACAAGTATACACATTTGTTTTTTTTGTTTATTTGGAATTACTTAATTCCATATCAACATAATATTTTTATTGAATTCAGTAAAATTTTTCAAACAGTTTCTCGTTTTTGTTACTCATACATGACTTTCTCAATGTTTATGAAGCTTTCTGCTGCTGTTGTTGTTGTTGTTGTTGTTGTTGTTGTTGTTGATGTTCAGTTACTTTGTTGTTGTAAGTTCATTTTGTTAAATATTACATCTTATGTTTATAGTTAAACTTAAACAATACAAAAGCAGTATTTGTTTTTCATTCATTTTTTGTTACACATAAATATATATTTTTTTTAATTTATCATGATTTTTATTTTGTTTTGTTTGTTTTATTTTTTATTTTTTTTATTTGCTTTATGAAGGTTTTTTATCTATATTTTTTTTCTTTGTTTTCATATAGTTTTTAAGTCTAAATTAAAGCAATTCTGTTGGTTTTTTTTTACTTGTTACACTTGAAATAATTGTTGAAACAAGAGCAAATTAATTGTGTCCTTTGTTTTTTTTTTTAATTTTGGGGTTGTTTCAATGTTATTTAAAATGTAATCTTGAGAATTACAATTCTTCAACTGAATTATGTTATCTCGCCAGGCAAGCTTTGCGCTGAACTAAAAATTGTTTTAGATGTTTTTGCTTTTGGTTTATTGTTGTTAATTAAAATTTGTTGTCATCGTACTTAAGTATAGTTTTAATGCTGCCTTTTATATATTACCATTTATATAACATATGTTTGCATACATAACTGTATACCGTAATGTTACATCACTTAATTCTATATATTATAAATGTAAATAATAAATCAACTTTTGGGGTTTTTCACTATTTTTTTATGTAATTGCCAAAACCAAACGGGTTTGCAAATGATATAAAAAACAAATTATTCGCAAGCTTTTTATTATAATTTTTTTCATAGTTTTTTTCTGAAACATTTTTAATTTTTGTATTTTTTTATTATTACTATTTTGCGCTGCGCTTTGCACTTGTTGTGTGAGTTTGAATTCTCGGGCAAATTGTGATCCAAAGAAATGCACACTTTACGCTGAAATCTGTTGAAATGTTTTCTCAAAATATGGGCGTGGCAGTGCTTTAACTTAAATACTCAGTCGTAACAGGGCAACTTGAGTCAATTGAAATGATTTGATGAATTTAAATATCGTAAACATATCGCTATTGCCATTTGCCTCAATTGTTGAAAAGTTTTCAAAGTAAACAACTGCCACATTTGTTAGCCAAACAATTCGTTGATTTTTATAATACATATAGCAAGCCTTTCAAGAACTGATTACTCAAAGAAGCAGCGGCAGCAGCTCGAAATGTCTTGAGAAATTTTGCGAAAGTTTTCCATATGAATTCATAGAAAAGTTGTGTAGTTTTTCTTTGTTTTTGTTTTTATTATTTTCAAATCATTATTTTTGAGAATTGTTGTAACATTTATTGTAGTTGCCTTGTGCTGATTACGTAACTTGTTGTTGTTTACACACAAAAAGAGTATTGTTGTTGTTGCTTGTTTTTTGTTATTTTTAAAGGTATTTTTCTTCTTCTTTATACACTTGGTGTAAAAAATGGCAGTTTATATATACTTGTTAAAGATTTTTTTTTATCAAGTGTGTTCTAGTATTTGCCGCATGCTAAATTGTGCAAAAAATGTGACATATCTTTGGATCCGCAAGCCATTCCTTTTTATTTATTTATTTTTGTTTTGTTTTTTTTTTTATTTTTATTTTTTTTTGGTGCCTTAATTCAAAAATTAATTACTAAAAGAAATCTGTAGCCAAATTTGTTCGTAGTTGAAAATTGTAATACACGCGCTAAAGGGTCAAACATTTACTTGGCAGTTTTAATATATATTTTAATTAAATATTATTTACGTTTTAATACTCTTTAATTATCATATATATTTTTATAGCTTTTGTTACCCTATATAAACTACTAATATTTATCGGCGGTTTTGGGAACACACTTTGCCCAGGTTAAAAATTCAAATCAAAATCAAGCTATTGCTTCAAGTGAAATTTTGTGCGGCAAAAAAAAAAACAAATTAATTTGGAAATTTGCAAAATTAGCCTTGGGATTTGAATTTGTTTCTTAAGTTTAACGGCTGCCCGCGAATGCATCAGAAATAAACAAACAAAAAAATTGAGTGAATCTCACAACTCGTGTTCATTTATTTTTCATTTATTTAATTCTTGCAGCATTTTATTTCACTACTTAACTAATTGCTTTAGTTGTTCTTGTTGTTTTCTGCATTTGTTTAATTTATAGGAAAACATGCACTAGAAAATGTTGTTAGAAAACTATTTGGTAAACAATTTGTTGGTTGCCTGTTGAATTTTATTTATTTAAAAATTTTTGTTTTTGTTTTTTTTTTTTTACTAAAAATTGTTTCTCCATTTTACTTGTATCTAACTGAAACTTTAAAATGAAAATGTACTTTCGCCGGTCGCCAGTGGAAAATTTGTTAGCTATCACTAAAATTTGGAAAAACATCAATATGTCTTTAAAATGCTTGGAAAATTCTGAAAAGCTTAGCGAATAGCATACGAACATTTTCCAATTTTCCGGCAAACAGGTCGCTCAATTAGCAATTCGACCTGCATTTGCATACGATTTTCTTTAGTTGTTAAATTCATTTAATAAAAGTAATTAATTGTTAATAATATTTTTATAATATATATTTAAGTATAACATTTTCCATTAAACTATTATTTAGCGATTCTGCTGCATGTGTAGCAAAACTTTATAACATTTCATGTTTAAATTTATAATCATTTTCCGTTTTTGTGTTTTCCACTTTTCTATTTTCTTCTTGTTTTGTTTTTTCCTTTTGTTTTCATCATCTGCTTCTTACATTTAGACTAGCACTAGTTAAGTGGATGGTAAAAGGGGATTAGTTATAAAGCTTGGTATGCCATTTAAGAGATTTAGCTTTTATTTTTTATTCGATTTTTTATTTTAATTGTTTTTTTTTTTTTTTGTGTTGCTTGCTTTTTCTTGATTTTTTTCATGGGGTGGGGAAAGGTCTCAAGAGAGCGAGAAAATCGTAAAGCTAGTTGAGGCCTATTAATGAAGTTGTCTTTCAAGTCGAGCTGGTTGCAGAGAACGAAATAAAGCTAAGAAATTGAAATTGAAATCGAAATTGAAATTCATTAAATTTTTGGCATATACCAAAACGATATCGTAAATCCAGGTCATAACGACTTGTGTTTAAAGTAGTTAAAGCCGTGCGTGGGTGTGTGTGTGTGTGAGTGTGTGTGTGTGTGTGTGTGTGTGTGTGCGTTCTGGGGTCGCTTGTCTTGTGACCTTTTTAGGGGTTACCGCAGCTGCTCTTATTTTCCCCCCTCTTGTTGCCCACGCGCTTGCTTTGCATAGAAGCTGCTGTGGCTGTGGATGGCTGTTGAAAATTGTGATATCGAAACGGTTGGGTTTTTATTTAGTTAAATTAAGTTCGTTTTTATTATTATTATTTTGTTTGTTGTGGGGGGGAGGGGATTCATTGTATACATAATATATTTTTTTAATTTTATATACTCCTTTTGTTTTTATTGTAACCAGTTACTCTGTACTTTACTTTCAGCTATATTTATCGATTTTTTGCCTCAATTTTTTTATATATTTTATTCATGTTTTTTTTTGGGTCTTTTTTTGGTTTTTTTTTTTTTTTTGTATATTTTATTTTTATTTTCATGCAATTTTCACATTAATGATTTTGTTTATTTTTTGTTTTGTCTTTTTTTTTTGTTTTTTTTTTTTTGTTTTGTTTTTGGGGCTTTCATAATAAGTGAAGAGTATTAATTTTAAATGTGTTGTGGCTTACGTTTTCCTTGCATTTGCATGCTTTTGTTTTATTATGTATCTAACCTTCTTTTGCTTTTCCTTGCAGGTTCTTCTTCTTTCTATTCATTTGTATTTTAAAATCTACAGTTATGTGTTTTTTTTTTTTTGTTTATCTTTAGAAATTTGTAGTTAAACATTTCGTTATGCTTTGGGATTAATGCGGCCTGTTTAAACAAATTAAATAGGTTTGCGTTGTGTGAAAATTGTTTGGGTTTCTCTTGTTATTGCGTTTATTTTATTTTATTTTTTTTGTAATTTATTTATATGTTGTGAGAGGGGGAGGTGGAGGTTGATGTTCATAATTTATGTAATTATGTATGTATGTATACATATGTGTTTATGTACGCATTCCAATTGTTCATTTTATTTGTATTATATATATAAGTATTTATTTAAATATTATAAATATAATTAATGTTTGGTTTTGTTTTTGTTTTTATGTATTTAACACGTTTCTCATTGAGTTAAGAACAGTTGCTGCATTTTTCATTTGTTTATAATTTGTTCGCTGCGCTGTTTGTCGTTTATATCTTCATTATTAAATTACACCAAAAACAAAGTAGAATTTGTTAACAACAATTTGTTTTTTTTTTTTTTTTTGGTTTTTTCTTTTCTTTTGTTTTTATTTTATAATATCATATTTGCGCTAAATTATGTGGCTTGCCAATTTTAACCATTTGCTATTTTTTGCCTAAATTGTTAACTAAATAAAATTCTCCTAACAAATTAAGTTGTGTGTGTGTGTGTGACTGTGTGTGCTGTGTGTGTGTGTTTGTGTGTGTGTGTTTGGGGCCTTTGTTAGCGTTGGGTAGTTTTTAGCTTTTTAGCGCTATATTTAGTCATGTTTATGTTCTTGCTTTTATTATATTTATTTTTATTCTTGTAGCTCTTTGTTTTAGTTTTTCTTTGGTTGTTGCTGTATTTATTTTGCAGTATTATTACTTTAGCTTGTTTTTTTTTGGTTTTGGTTTTGCTTGCTTTGCTACGTTTTTGTGAATGTGTTCCGTCACTGTATTTTTTTATTTAGCGTGACTTTGCTTAACTTTCATCTTAACCTTCATTTTATTTATTTATTTATTTAATTTTCTTTGTTATTTTTTTTTTTTGTATGCCTAATTCACGCCTCTTCATCATTTGCATCCTTTTACGGATCCTGGCTATACCTTTGCTTCTTCTTGCACTTCTTGCTGTTCTTGCTGTTCTTGTAGCTTTTAGCCTTTTACTGATGCGTTTCCATTGCGTTTCTCTTAGTCGACCATTAACTCAAAGTGGACGGATCCTCTCCTATCCGAGCGATCATGATGGATGTTGTGAGCCCAGGCTTTGCACTCAATGTTGATCAAGACGCCGGCTAGCGAGTGAAACAAAATTATGAATTAAATTAAATACTTATGTCCAATTAGCATAAAGTAGTAGTTCCCTAACATGAATACCAAAGTCTTGATATATTTTATATATATGTTTCCTATAAATGTTCATGCATTTTGGAGTTTTCTTTATTTATTTTTATTAAGCAATAAATCCGACTCTCAACGGAAAGCACCTAGAAAACTCTTGACCAAACTATAAGTCTTGATATTAGATTTTCTAGTTCTAGTTAATGGTCATTTCACATATACTATACGGAAGGCAACTGCATTCATTTATAACACTAAACAATAAGAAATATGCAAACGTATTAATATTTCCGCACACATATTTGTTGCCTACTTTTGGGCGTGGTGTTCTTTAATATCTGCCAATTGAAAATGTTTGAAAATGGAATTGAGAGCTTCAGCTATTTTCTTTAGAATTGTTACCAATCCGATTAAGCCATTTTGTAGCGATTAAAATGGTTGGCTAAGCGGGTTAATGGCTTAGTTATCTGCTTTTGCAACAGGACCATAGAAAATGGAACATAAAAGATTTTATTCGCACACTCCAACTTTTATTTCAACCTGAGGAATTATTAAAGTTTATTGTGCCGTAAAATTGGGTTTCTAGACGTTTTCCTCTTCTCTTTTTTTTTTTGTTTTATTTTGCGGCATTCGGGTCGCTTGCAGCTCTTTTGTCTTTGGGCACGCAGCTGGGGTGGGAATCGGGAGATTCGTATGTTTGGCATTTGATGTGCGTTTGATTAAAATGCCAGACAGCTTTTCCCATTGTATGACTGCTTCCTGAAGCATGTGGAGCATAAAACTCGCATGCTTATTTAACTGATTCTAAGCCTCTTATTCATTGTACACTATCTAATCCTCTTTTATTAAATGCAAAGCAGAAACTGTTACCACTCCTGGTGCTTCAATTAATGAATAAATTAGGGGTAAGCTTTGACGGGAATATCCGGTTGAATTCGTGAACTAAATTTGGCTGCTGGCAGTGTTTTTATAGACCTGAGATTCTAATTCATTTTATTCAAATTCAGTTGCAATCTCTGACTGAGAATAATTTTCTTATTGGTATAATATTTACTTTAAAATGATCGCAGTTTTTTTTTATTTTATTATTTTAGAAATTAATCTCAGTTTGTATTGAATAGCTAAATCTTACATATATCATGATTTTACTTTAGGAACTGAAATTCCATGCGAATGGTTTTAGTGAAGGACTGTTGGAAATTTCAACGAAATGCATGAAATACTTGAAGGTAAGAGTTCATATTTTTAAGTAAGCCCAGAAGCAGTTACTCTCGCACAGAAGCTCAATTAATTAAAAGCTACTTACTTTCAACGGTGAACTGAACAGCAACAATTGGCGGTATATATCCCTCAATGTTTTTGAAAGGGAAGTAGAAATGGGGGAAACCCATGCGAGGATAATAATCACGTGCCTTAATGTTTTCAACATCAGCTGGATTTTCCCCCTCGCATGACACCCAAACAACGCCAGTCTATAATATAAATAACAAAAAAAAAACAGAATGTTGCAAATAGTTATTAGATGTATAAGAGCCCAAGGCAGGCTTACCTCATTTGGTCGCAGGCTCTGCTTCTCCTTGATGTGCTGCTTCAACTCCTCGGGCATGTCACCGGGCAAAGCTTTTGAATCGTTGTAAATTTGTGGTACCCAGTTGTAAATCTAAAGAAATCGATTTGTAATTCTTTGTCTCTTGCTATTTGTGTTGCTGTAGTCGATTACCTTATTCAACTTAAGGAATATGCAGGGTCGGGCCACGTGATAACCAAAGTTATTATCCTCAGTGCAGGGCGCAAAGCTACTAACTTCAACGCCGCAAACTTTGCCCTCCATTGGCGGATGGTCAAATGAGCAGTTGACGTGATTCTTCTTGGGTAGATCGTCATAAGCTGAGAGTATAAAGATTTCAATTATATAAAAAGCTCAGAGCAACCACTTGATGTTAGTTCTCTAAAGTACACCTAGCATTTGTTGGATAGCTTTTCAAATACATTTAGCAATAGTCACTTTTTATAGAACATTTATTTCACTTACTGTGATCTTATTATTTGTTTATTCACAAAAATCAAATGAGTGATGAACAAAAATGTACAAAAAAGATTTATAAAAATGTAAAATTTATATAAAAAAAATTTCGAAACTACAATTTGATCAAAAACATTAAACAAGAAAAATATTTTCACAATTTCTCTAAAAATAAAATTGTAAGTAATATATATAATATTTAACAATTGATATAGGAAAACAACAAATTGTTAGTCACTAGACTTTTGAAGTGTAACTTACATTTCAGAAATCGTGCAGTTTCCTCAACCCAATACATGTAATTATCTTTCTTCGATGATTCGTACCAAACTAAAGTGCTCTCAACATTCGCCTCTGGGGGCATTGGTCGAAAGCCAAGACCTGTAAATAAAGTTAACAAGAATAGTGAAACGCCGACAACAACAAAAAGAGTGTTGCACATAGTCTTATAAAACCCTCCGACCCCATAAAGTATATATGTTCTTGATCAGCATCAATAGCCGAGTCGATCTAGCCATGTCCGTCTGTCCGTTTGTATTTTTGATAACCGGTATTCGATAACTTGTTCCGTTTCCAAGTGTTGGTTTTAATGGCTTGAGTCACCAAATATGACATGTACCTACTAGAATATCGATTTCAATTTTGTAATTTACCTGGATTCGATCCAATCAATCCATTGTCAAGCATCCATTTGGGTTTATCAGCCTCCAATGTTTGATAGAACACCGCAAAAATGGCAGCAAAGAATCCGGTTAACGCCGCGTAGAATATAATATAGAAAAGTAAAATTTTTGCTGCAAGACAAGAGAAGTAGACTCGTTGTTTAATATTTTTTATTCAAAACGTAAATTTAGTTTATTTATGCGGTAAAATTATGTATAAATTCCAAGCGCCAAAAGGTAATTAAATTTATTTTATGCGCGCCAAGAGGTGGATTAATTAATTGTGGGCCCAAGGACTATTTGTATGACACATTTATTGCTGTTGCCACGCCCGATTTGATAACCTCCTGCGCGGCATATTAATGGCTAACACAAACTGTGTTAATCATAAAAAAAAAAACATTTCCGAATTCCATTAAATTCATGTCCTTACACAAAAATTCTATGCAGACAATTCTCTATGTTTTGCTGTCGTATTGTTATGGATATTATTTCATCGTGGTCCCTAATATGTCTCAAATAAAAGGGATCAAAGGGATTCAACGTACTCAAATCTGCTTGAGCATAGAAAACAAATAAAAACAAGCTAGCAAACGAAATAAGATTATTTGATTCAAGGACCATTTGTTTGCTTGGACTATATAACATCATATCATATAAATAAGGTTTGTGCCTAATTCATAAGGATTATTATGAGCCTTGGAATTTGAAAGCGACCAGTGTATCCATAGCAAAACTTTTAAATCAAATAACCAGTAAGACGTTAATGCGCAAAGTTGGCTTATGTCTTGGCTAATTGACAATGTGGGGCAACGGGGTGTGGGTAGGTGGAGAGGCTGGTAGCCTCGACAGTTTGCTGTCTGCCACGCCCCCCACATAGCTGTGTACCTACCACACTGCTCTACGATTACACAATGAACGACATTTGACATTTTCTTGGCTCCAGCTGCAAGTAAATCTGGAGAAGGTCGCGCGCGCTAGTGTGTGTGTGTGTGTGTGTGTGTGTGTATGGGTGTGTTGTGCATTCCAATATCCGCACAATACTCCGCACTGTACTCATGGCCAGAGTTAACTAGTTTGTCATTTTGACATTTCTGTTTTATAATTAAGAGTGATTGAAAGGTCGCTGAGTTTTGAGTTTTTGTTCCGTTCCTGCTCTCCTCTGCAGCGCTCTTATTTTATATTTAGCTATTAGAAAAAAATCAAGCGGCGTCTCCCGGGTCAAATGCATAATGTTGAAAATGCAAACCGAAATTGTACGATTAATATGCGGATTTAAAATTTCTTCATATAAGAAATCATCCGAATTAGTTGAAATTAAAAATTGTTCTTATTTAAATAAAAAAAAATTATATTTAATCTTCCGGTTTAACGGGATACCCAACTTTCGTTCTCATGGGTTATTTAAAGGTATATTTTAATAATAAAAACTCTTAATTTCTGGTGCCTTGCTAGTCCAACGCTCAGACAGCTTATATAGACTCATGAACTCGCGTTCGTAAAGAACACATATATGGCTGCGTTGGGGTTGATGTTTTACATACAAACTTTGACCACCATTTTCCCCCATTTGGAGGTTGCCCTTTCCACGCTCCTGTCCTAATGCTCGCTTTAAAACTGAACGCAACCTTTTGCAATAGTTTCAGTTTCCAAGCCTGTTTAGGTTGTGCGGTCTGTCTTCTATATACATGAATTGACTTTAATGTTGTTTACTTTTTTAAGATAACATTGTCCTAAATTACGCATACGACATGTGACGCAGAGCGAACTGTGAATAAACTAATTTATAGAGAGGAAAATATGTTGGAATTGGCATTGGCATTGTACAGCAATTTACGAAAGTCATTAATCATCTGCTCAGAGACTTTGAGAATAGTGTGGACCGTGGGAATTTTGCTGAGCAAACGCGATTGGCAGCGGGTTAAATTTAGAAATAATTAAAGAGTGAATGGTGAAGGCAGATAAACGAGAGAAGAGCTGAAATAACAAAGGGTCTTAATGGCAACTACGAAGAGTATGATTTTTTTTTGTTCCTAGTTTAATCAGGGCAAACAGCAGAAAAAAATAAAATTCAATTAGAATAACGAATAAATTGAATTACAATAATTTGGGAAACGCAACTCTGATGGTTTTCAAAGAATGTATTATAAATGAACATAAATAAAATATTATAAATAAAATAAGACTCGAATGATTTAAAAACATAAGCTATAAGAACTGCAATATTCTTTGACGATTGTTGAAACTATATGCAAGGATGTTTTAAAATTCAAAATAAAAAAATAACAAATAATTCTTTTTTAAGCACAGAATGCAGACTAAATTATAAAACACAACAATATTAGTTGGCCATATTTTGAAAAATAAAACTTGTCAATTCGATTACAGATATAGTATGTAACATCCTGTTAAGTAGTACGCTTATTTTCAAGACCTTCTGAAAAATACTTGAAAAGAATTCTGCTCACGGTCAATTAGTTGGCAAGTATTGCCAATAGCAAAAGGGCGCATGCGCGCTCCACAATTCTGCTGCCCAACTGGCTATTGCCAATGCGCCCGCACTCTAACGAATTCTCATGGCCATATACAAGCAAGCATATATATATATATATATATATAAATGTTTGTATATACATATATCTGGTATATAGATAATGGTAGCGTTATTTAATGGCTTGATTGCTTCAGAAGCAACTGTCCACACAGGGTTCAAGCCCGACGTTTGTATCGTAATATGCATAAATTATAATAATCTGATAGCTAAACATATTATTTTGAATGAAATTTATTTTTATCTTGACTTTTTAATTAATCCTTAAGTTTATAATTGGCTTTGCTGGCCGAGTTCCCAAGTCAATTGAGTTGCGGAAATTATGAAAACACGTTTAACATTTTCATCGCCTTACGTAATTTGGTTACGTTACGTAGGCAGTTAAATAAAAATGTACGTTTGCATGGCAACACTCGAGCAAACTTCACGGATTCGCTGGGGATAACAAAAGCAGCGCCAGCAGGGAGCCTTCTTTGCAGTTGGTTGTGCTTTTTATTCTGAATTTTCTTATTGTTATTCCAATGGGTGTGCCTATGTGTGTGTATGTTAGTATCTATGTGTGTGTGTGTGTGTGTGTACATGTGTGTGCTTGAGTGTGTTTCTGCACTTAACGAGCTGGTTGCTCTGGTTTCAGTGGCCGCAGTGGCTTTTCCTACTGCGGTAGGTGGGGCTTTGGGTCTTTTGGAGATAGAGCTCGGCCATGGATGCATGGTGTGAGTTTCTCAGGCTACGCGATGTGCTCTTTGTGGTTTGGGGAAAACAGCTGGTTTATTTTGCTTGCAAGGCAAATACGCTAAGCCGTTCTAAATGTTAAGTGCCCTCGACTACACAGCATATAAATTATGTAGTTCTGGGCCCGTAGTCTCAGCTCCCACAGAAATAAGTGTAACCCGTATAGGGTAATCGTAAATTTTATCCCACTTAATTGAATGCGTTCGAAATACTTACAGTATATCTTAAATTTGCATAATGCACTAAAATATATATATTTGG